TCCAATGCTTGAGGTGGAATGTCCAGTTTTTGTGCCCCTTTTTATGATACATCTTTTGTTAGTTCATGTGAATGCAATGAAAAAAATGAAAAATTATGCGAAATATGCAAGAATGCATGATGCATGAAATGTTCGAGGCATTGATCCAAAAAATGTGTCTGTTATTGTAAATAATCCTTATTGGGGATAAAAGTATTACGTCTTAAGAGACAAAAAACATTTTAAAAGTATAGACCCCAAACTACTTCTGACAAATTAATTCATTTTCTGCCTTCTTTTATCACTGGTTGAATACCCTATCGGACCGTTCTGGCTCATCTGGCTAAATTGTGCAAGTGACGAGCTACTTGCCCCAAAAAAGTCTTGAAGGAATGCATCTCTAACTTTCACTCTCTGCTGAGCTTGTTCCTAACGAAAGTTCCATTGGAGTCCTCCATCGATAGGAACTATCCGAAGCTTGCTTCTTGAATTTGTCAATAGTGGTCTCCAGCCTAGCTAGGGTTTCACCATCTTGTTCTTGTTGTCTTTGAAGGGGTTCTCCAGGTCAGTAACATTTTTCTTGTATACCCCTGCAAACTTTTGCCAACTCAAAAAGTTGACTTTTGGTGTGCTCAACGTAAATTCCGGACCCTTCTGGACTTTTGTGTTTTTCACCTCTTGTATTATAACCCCTTTGTTCATTAATGCAAATTATTTACGTTTAATGAACACATTTTTGGTGGATCAACACCTCTTTTGAATGATATAAATGATGAAAAATGAAAAAAAGAACAAAAATAAAGGGAAAAAGTTAATGAGGCAAGGATAATAAAAAAATGATGAAAATAAAAGTCCTTCCCTATATGATATCTACCCAATATGCTTATTATTCCTACCCGGACATGATCTATATCCCGTAAGTTGATAAGTCCTAACCGCATAAATTTCTAGTTCACATGCTTTGAACAAAAAATAAATTAGGAAATAATCAAAAGAGCCTAGGGTTTGAAATGAGGTTTTGGGGTGGGCTCTAATTCCCTGTAATCTCCCGGTTTATATTCTAAAAGGGTACTCGAGTTCTCCTTGCTGATGCCCCATTGGTCTTTCCAGACCCTTAGTCCTAAGCTCATTACAAGCTTATGTGGACTAAGTTAAACTCGAGAGGATACATTTCCTTATGTCTGTGCGGTGAATAAATTCACACGAAGACATAAGGTATATGAATCTCGAAGGTTACTTGCTAGGCCTGTGCGGAGAATAAATTCTCACGAACGCGTCGTTTTCACCTCTACTTAAAAAGGGTTCAGAGTTCGGATATAGAGCTTGAGATGAAAATTTAAAAAAATATGAAATCATTGAAAAAAAATGTCAATACAATTATTTGTTTAAAAAATAATAAAAGGTAAATAATTGAAATCAAATAAATAAATTAAAATTTACTATTTTCGCATAAAAAGATAACCGAAAATTAATTCTGACCTGGCTCACTTACCTGTCTCCAGCGGAGTTGCCAAGCTGTCGCGACCACCTTTCGGTTGGACCCAAAATTTGGCTTCGACTTAGGAAAATGGATTAGGAGTCGCCACCGATCATTTTAAAAACGTTTAGGTAGATCGGACACCATCTTACCTGATCTGCGTTTTATCAGAAATATGTCAGGTTATGGAGTCGATTACGGTCAAGGAATGATTAGCACCATTGAACCGCCCTTTCGGTACCAATTAATTTATTGATTGTCTTAATTGCGAAAATTTGAAATTAAAATTAAAATGCATTCTATTCGAATCAATTGTCTTTGATTAGTTAAAATTGTCCCTAAAAAGAAAGTAAAAAAATGTTAGATTAAAATAAATAAATACTAAATAGATTAAAGAAAAAAAATAAATTAAGAGAAAAATATTAAAAAAATGTGTAATACATGGTACACTTAAGAAACGTGGCCATATCTCCATCATTTTATGTTGCACATATTCCTTGATAGGTCCCTCACGTGAAAAGGCAACCACAAGCTCAAAAAGTGTACCACTGTTCACAAATTTGCTGAGCTCATCTTCATATATGTAATCCATTTGTCTGTTTAACTGCTGCATTTTCCCAATGCGATATCTTGAGAAGCCGAGAGAAAACCATCTCTTCCTTAAAGCGTATTTAGTTCTAGGATTCACAATAAAAATTCAATATCCAGAAATCATAATAATAATAATACTGCAGCAAGAATTAATTGGCATTGTAGTTAAGCAAATACTACAAATATCAGAGAACCATGTTCGGATTTTGATTAACTCGCATTCAATTTCTTTTCTTTCATGCACCCTTCCATCTTTTCAGGAGACCGACCAGATTTCGCTGTCTTCAAGCCACTGGAATCTGTAAAGAGAAGCGCCAGTTTGGTTGTTGACAACTTCTGGTGTCAACCCTTTGTTCTTTGGATAAGCACAATTATATAGCACCATAGAAGACCAATTCTTCATGGGATGAGAAGATTATCGTCGAATTTAGAGAGAGGAACAAAGGAAGTGATGTTCTTTTTTTCATTGCAGCCGGTGCGTTGCTTGTGAGCGTTAACGCGAGGGAGGCTGCAGGTGCGGAGGTAGCAACCTGGGCACGTGTATTTTGACGCGAGGGAGGCTGCAGGTTGCTTGCTGCACTCTTTCTTGGCACTCTTCCCTGATTCCTCCATTTACTTCCTTGGTTTATGAGTACAGGGGGCCTTTCCATTTGTAAATGGGGAATTAAAAGGAGTGGGTGGAGAGTGACGATTATGATGCAGATCCCATCATTTCCCCTTGTTTTACTTTCAACCATTTTTAATGCACAGAAGCAAAGCATAAAGCTACAATATAGAAGAAGAGAGGCAACCTCCCTCCGGTGTGTTTTTCGTTTCTGCCCCCAGCAAGTAAGAGTTCCTCCTATATAAAGTAAGCAGATAGTGTGTTAAGGGATGGGAAGAATTAAAAGGTAGCAGAGTAGGTGGGTGATTAGAGGTGGGGTAATGGTGAAATACGTGGGGTGTAGTGGTTTAGTGGGTAGGTAGATTATGTTTCTTATTTTTAGGGGTTGTATGTGGGCTCTGCAAAATAAAAAAATAAATAATAATAAAATAATTATAATAATAAATAAATATTTTTTTTTGTAGACCCACAAATTGAAAAAATAAATTAAGAGTTATCATCAACTTTTTAAGTTAGATAATATCAAATACATAAAAAAGTCTTTACAAACATTTAAAAACAACAACTTTGAATTACGCATTTTATCAAAAATTTATATTTTATGAGTTCATAAGTTAGTTATGTATAAAGAATGATTAACACAAAAAATGGGCCCTTAAAATTTCTCTGATATGGGTTGCCATCATATGAATGAGGATAAAATTAACTTAATAGGTAAACAGGTTAAAAATTAGTTTATTAGGGCATCTCTAAAATTAATTTAGGATCTATAAAAAAATACTATAGTGTATGAAAACTCGTTACACTCACATGAAGAATTTATCCAAATAATTTTTTATTCAAACTCATCACATCGATATAATGAGTTTTAATAAAATATATTTTTTTATTAAAATTTATCACATCGAAATATAAATTTTAAATGAAAAAATATATTTTATTAATATTCATCATGTCAAGCTTGAGTTTCAAGTTGATATAACAAATATCATATATCCCTTAATAATTTGTCTACCTACAATATTCAATCAACTTTACCGATGAATGAGCGATGGGATCAAGACCGGTTGCTCTCGAGTTGCCCTGCCCACAATGCCCATGCTCACAGCACTATTCCCTAATCCCTATTCCCTATTCCCCATTCCCCATTCCCCATTCCCCATTCCCCATTCCCCATTCCCCATTCCCCATTCCCTATTCCCATCCCCATCCCCATCCCCATCCCCATCCCCATCCCTTGCCCCCATCGAAGCTTAATACCACAAATAAAAACACACACCTTACTGTTTTCCTTTATTTCCCCGGTCCCATATTTATGGAGACTCAACGAATGACTATCCAAAATTTAAATTTTTATTTATTATAAAATACAATAAAGGTCGATTCGATTTGATTAATTTATTCGGTCTTTTATTAGTGGTGAAAAGTGTAAAGCTTGGTGGGCAAACCACAAAGAAAGATTGGCCGTATGAAAGGGTATCTATATGAACTGATCCATCAACGAATTATTCGTCAACAGTTGGTATAACTTTCATTTATTAATTTAAATAAATAAATATAAACAAAATTTTTGAAGGTCATTTAATAAATAAAAAGACACAAATAGATGTGTGTTCGATTAATTTATGTTTATGAATAAATTCATTTATTGACTCGCTTTTTGACTTATTTATAAGTCATTTATCGACTCGTTTATAAGTTTATTTGCTCGGTTTTCATTTCCTTTTATCTTTTTACATTTTAAATATTAGTAATGACAAAGAATAAATTGAATGAGTAACTTTTTAGAGTTTCAAATGTGAAATCTAAAGAATTTAATGACTATTGACATAATTTCATCATTTTTTTGATTAGGTAAAAAAAAAGTGTAGGCTATCAAACATGATTGAGAATAGAAGATTTAAAAATATTTTTTTTAGATCTATATATTTTAATAATTTATTTTTTAATAAGGTGAATATAAATAAAATTTCAAACTATACACCATCGATGAAATAAATGATTAATCGAAGAAACTTAAATTTTAAGGTGTACATGTACCCACTTTTAATACGCAATGGATCCATCACTATTTGCTAACTTTAAAAAAACAAACATAAACTGAAAGAACAAATATAAAAGCCTTTAAAAATAAATAAACGAATATTATAATAAAAAATTATATGAATACAAATTAAATACAAATATCTTTAAAAATAAATAAATAAATACGAATATAAATTTTATTTGTTGAAGTTCAATTTATTCCTGGCTGGGTGCTTCACCTGGCCTACAAAGAATACCCCACGAACCCAATCTCGTTTTTAATTGGGCGTATCCACAGCCACATAGCAGCTCTGAGATCTAATTCCTATGTGAATTTTAAACCCTAATTCTCTGCACAATTCGAGAGGATGGGGAGAGTGGTGATCGTGGACGAGAAATTCTGCTTCGAGGAAGAAACGCAGCTAACAGTCCACAAGACGTCGGTGTTTTTCCCGGGAGATGGATTCGTTGTGTACAGCCCCAGAGGAGAAGTGATTTTGAGGTTCGATTCCTACTACGGCCCCGATTCACTGCCCAAGGACGAGCTGGTCCTCATGGACGCTGCCGGCAACGGTCTCCTCACCCTTATCCGCAAGGTCACTTTCTTCATCCAATCACAATTTCCATCTTCCAACTTCACTTCCTTTTGCAAAAAAAAAAAAAAAAAAAAAAATCCAATGCTTTTTAAGGGATAGACAGAAGATTGTTGAAGTGCTATTCGATCCCGTTCTCATATAATTTATACATCTTTTATATAATTTAATTTTTCGTTCATATAAATTTTAAATTTCTATATAATTCAATTATTTTTCATTAATAATATAATTTAACATCCATACAAAATTTAAATTATCAATATAATTCAAGCATTTTTTTTTATATTTTTTTATTAATATTTTATTTTATATCCTTAAAATTTTATAATTTTTAAATTTCTAGTATAACTTATTAGGTTAACATCTATAACATAAAATCTATCTTTGATCTTATTAAATTTGAAGTATATATTTTTTATATTCTATTTTGGTTTTCATTTTATATTTTATGAGACTCAAAGTTCTCATTGTATCTCTTTTTTTAAAGTTAAAGAGATGAAGTTATAAATAATTTTTTTTCGAACAGAAGTAACTGGATTATATTAATAACAACAACAAAAAGTATACCTATAATGCATCTAAATATATAAAAAAATGACAATAATTATCGAAAAAACACATATAAAAATAAAAAAAGTTTAGACACAAAAATTTAAAAAATAAATATTATCTTAAAAAGTAATAACTAACCTCAAAAGATTCAATAATCTTTATAAAAATCATTTCTCTACGTTGAACTTAGGGGTGCTTATTGAACGAGTCGATTAAAAAATTTTGTTACTCGACTCGTTTCTCATTAAACTCGTTAAAATTTTATTTGATTTGTACTCATTAAAAAATTTGTTGCTCGACTCGTGCTCATTAAACCCGTTGCTCAGCTCGTTATTCGTTAATTTCACGAAAATTTTTATCTTATTTTTTAACTATATGTAAAATATACTAATAGTATAAATTTATAGATTAGTTATTTATCATTTTTTATTATCTATTAGTAAATTAATAATTTTTGAATTTTTTAAAATAACTATTAAAAATTATAAAAAAAATTAAAGAGTTACTATTGAGTCTAGTTAGACTTTGCTCAACTTATCTCGTTAAAGTCTTGAGTCGAGTTTGAGTTTGAGTCAACCCGAATTAAACTTTTACTACATTTTAACTGAGTCGAGTTCAAGTCGATCGACTAATTGAAGTCATAAATGTTGTTTAAATTCGAGTTTATCGCCTAATCGAAGTCATAAATGTTGTTTAAAAATCGAAGAACATAATATCTCCGTCACTTTCAAGAAATTCATCATGTTTTAATATTTTTATATACATTTTTTAAATTTCATATTTTATTATTTAAATTTATTATTAGTATAACTTTAAAAATTATATTATTAGTTTAATTTTTAACAAGTTTAATGTCGGAAGTTAATTGACATTAATTCGATTGAAAAATACATTAAAATCAAATTGATGTAAATTATTATACGATATTTGAAGTAATTTTTTCATTTAAATTTAATATATAAAATATTTTAATTTTTATCTTCTTAAAGTGTCATTATAATTTTTTTCCTTTCACACACTTTTGTGAATGTACATTATTTAGTTTGTTTTAAGACTTTGAGTAACGTAATTTTAAATATTTTATAAACTTAATTAATCTAAAATGTTAAAATTAATTAAGAAAACAATTTAATTAGAGAATTTTTGAAATTATATTTAATTAATTTACTGTTTGCTAAATCTCAGAAGCCAAGTCTCCATCAAAGGTGGGAAGGGTTACTAGGGGAGAAAAGGGAAAAAGAAAGCCCGATTTTCTGTGTCCGTCGATCATCCATCATCGGACGATCGAATGTTGTGGTTGATGTGTACGGTGATCCAGGCGACGAGTACAATATCGACGGCTCCTATCCCAAACGTTGCTGTGCGATCTACAGCACTTCTTTGGAGAGCTCATCAAAGTTACCAAAGGCTGAGATCAAAAGAAAAGTGGACCCCTCCACTCACGTGATGTTGGGCAAAGATGTCTTTTTGCTCTGTCTTAGTCCGGGGTTCGACAGTGCATTTGCGATGGCGTTGATCCTCGTTCTTGACCAGATGTTTGATGATGGTGATATTGACGATGAAGATGACGATGACGATGAGAATGCAGATTCTATCCATGCTGCACAGGATTCTTCCTCTTTATTAACTTCTTGACCAGATATTTGATGATGGTGATATTGACGATGACGATGCAGATTCTAGTCATGCTGCACAGGATTCTTCCTCTTTATTAACTTCTTTTTAAGAACTACAATAGCAGTCAGTCATCAGTATTATTTTTTTATTTTGATCACATAAGTATTTCTATGGCTTAATTTATAAAATAAGTATTCAGATTATATGTTTTTTCACAAATTGATGTTTAAATTATTATCTAAATCATTCAGTATTTAATAATAAAAAATTATTATTTTAGGTGTCTGTATCATAATGACCATTAAATTGACCCGTTAAGTGATATATGTCATATTTATATAATTTTAAAAAAAATAAACAATATTAAAAACATTATTTAAAAATTATTATTTTTTCATAAAAAATGGGAAAATCCCACCCGCCATAACCCCCAAGTTGCAACAAATTTTGGCCCAAATGGCCAATTGTCTTATTGTTATTTGTCGATGACGACGATCAAGATTCTTTGAGTTTTGAACCGGCTCCGACTCCAACTTCGACTCCAGTTCCATCTCCATAAAAATGGAATAATTATGTAATACCCGAATTTTGGGTTAGGATTTTTGGGTATATTTAATTTGGACCTTAGAATAAATTTCCTTAGCCCATAAAGAGCTTGACCCAAGTGACATTTGATTTGGGCTTGAGATAAGCCCAATATTTAACACCCTAGATCAGTACGACTCACCATCGACCAATCTGGGTGCTATACGGTAGGGTGTGCAAAATTGCCCGACCTTGTTGACCCGATCCGCTGACCTGGATTAAAAAAATCGGGTAATTTTCTAAAAAAATTACCCGGCCGGGCACTTTACGAGTCGGGCTCGGGTCACAAAAATTGTTTTTTTCTGGGTACCCGTAGGGGTGTTCAAATAACCGAACTAATTCGGTTAACCGGCCGAACCGAGTTAGTTTGGTTAATTCGGTTCGGTTATCGAATTAGTTCGGTCGGTTAACGGTTAAGAAAATTTTTAGAATTCGGTTAACGGTTAATTCGGTTCGAATTCGGTTAATTAACCGAATTAACCGAAATTAAATTTTAAATATTAAATATATTATATATAACATATGGGCTCAGCCCAAACCATTTAAAACCTAATTAATAATTTAAGATCCAATAACTTTTAAACCTAAATCAATATTAATTAATTAAAAAAATTATATAAATTTTTTATTTTATAATTATATATTATTTAAATTAATTGTAAACTGTTTTTTTAATTAAAAAATATTAAATATATTATATATAACATTTGGGCTAAGCCCAAACAATTTAAAACTCAATTAATAATTTAAGATCCAATAATTTTTAAATCTAAATCAATATTAATTAATTAAAAAATTTATCTGAAATTTTTATTTTATAATTATATATTATTTAAATTAATTATAAACTTTTTTTGAATTAAAAACATTTAATTTTTATATAAATTAGAAAATTTTAAAACAAATTCGGTTAATTCGAAAATTAACCGAAATTAAATCGGTTCGGTTAATATGTTTGAAAAAAAGTTCGGTTCGGTTAACAGTTAAAGAAAAAAAAAGTTCGGTTAATTCAGTTAAGGGTAGTTCGGTTCGGTCGGCCACCGTTTTAACCGAATGAACACCCCTAGGTACCCGGTTAAGTTTTTTTTTAATATATTAACTAAATATTTAATTTATAAAATTAAAATCCCTAAACGAAATTATTTCTGATTAAAATCTCTAACAGGTAGCCACGCTCCATACCTCAAAACGACCACGATGCACTTTGCACGCCAAGTTCTAACCTCAAATTCCGTGGAAGCCTTCCACCCTTCGGCCAGCTCGAGCCACTTAGCCAGGTAACAATCCACTCAACAGTATTAAGTCAACACCCCTAGTTCTAACTTCTATGCCTTCCACGCTTGTTGTTATATTAGGGTAAAAAACTACTAAGTTATCATATGTTTTTTGAGGCAATTCGTTTATTTGAAATTGAAAACGTAAGGTTCTGACTTCGTCCTTGGAATAGCAGGAAGACTGGGTTAGGTAAAGTTGATAATAAGCCCAGAGGAAAAATAAGAACATTCGATTTAGCAATTTTTGTTGCTGATATATGTAATCTTTATATGGTTTTGGATTCAGATAAAGATTGATGAAATTGATTTCACATCAGCTGGGCTAGTGTAGCTTTTATCTCGAAATGCATGAATGAATCCTTGGATTTCTAGGGAAAATGGGTATAGTGTTAATTAGGGTCGATGAGGTTAAGTAGCTGGATTGTTGTTGCATTTAAAGCCCAGTTCTTTTGTACTCAGATGAGAGTTTGGGATAAATTTGTTCTAATTCCAGATTTATGACATCTTGTATTAATCATCTGTCCCGTGCTACCCATTTTTCTGTTATTGTAAGATATGTTGTACCTCTAATGTTGCCGTCGATGTTATCGTTATGGATTGTTGGTGTCATGGCCTGAGCGTGGATTGATTTTCCTGTTCTACTAGGGTAAAAAGCTACTAAGTTGTCATATGTTTTTTAAGGCAATTCGTTTGTACTCAGATGAGAGTTTGGGATAAATCTGCAGTCTATTCTTAAATCGGGTTTGTCCAACTCATTTGTTGAACTGAGAATAATGTTATTTTTATTAAAATTATCTTCCTTTGCGTTTAATCTTTGGGATTGATTGTGATTAGCATGTGAGTGTTTAATTTCATGTGCTTAATTTCATAGCCAATCAATATATATAAATGCGCTTGCATGTTTGCTTCGACTGAAAGTTTATTGAAAAATGCCCGACTTATTTTTCCAGATAATGTCAATGACAGGATAAAATGTTGATGATATAGAGATGTTATCTTCATCAGCTACGTCGTCTAGAGTATCCATTCCATCTATTCTGTGAGTGAACCAAAGGATTAACAATAATATTATTTATCTATTCACTTTCTGTTGGATTATGTATTATTTTATGAGGATGCTATCTAAATGTTGTGAATCTCATGTATTTTATGTAAATGTACAAGTATAAATTATTTATCTATCAAACTTTTTTTTAAAAAAAAAGGGTACCCGGAATATCCGGGTCGAGACACGGGCTGAGAAATCACCGACTCAGATGTTCCGGGTACCCGGTTTTTGGGTACCTAAAAATCCGACCCAAAAACCAGGTACCCGGATTTGTACACCCTTACTACACGAAGCCACCGGAGTAGCTGATCAACTTTCTTCTTTCTTTCTCTAACTTAAAATGACCATTTAAATAAAGAAATTATCTTAAAATATAATAAAACTTTTACATCGGAGTGCCCTCAAAATAAATAAATAAATAAATACATTTTTAAAATATACAAACTAACTTTTAACTGAATTTACATTACAAATGGGTTTATGAATATACATACACTTCAAGAAACTTCTGACATACTTTGATATGTACAAGGTTTGGACCTCAGTCTCTTTCTAAGGCTCTTCAACTGTTCGATCTACTAACTTGCCAACATAAACATCCGAAGGCTGAGATAACTAGCTTAGTGCCACACTAATAGCTAAAACGTACAAACTGCGTATCACTAAAAGGTTTATGCTATCAAGTCTACTAATCTGATCTGCATAGTGAGTATACTTGTATACTCACTCTCTACACTATGGTAGATATTATGGCGCGGTTGAGTGATTACTGCATCTCGGAGCTCACGCACCCCTCTAGTCTACTGAGGATATGGCTGTCGAAATTCTGCATCGGACACCATACCTCTGACTAACCCACCCCTTGTGAGTGTCAGGCCTCGGCCTTAGTTAGTCGGTTTTAAGGGCTTTGCGCCCTACCTATGGATATATCTGGACTGCATCTATACTTTTGACTCCTTCAACTAAATGAACTCTGGTGTATGAATCATTTGCTGAGAATCAAACAAGGATACTTTATTTACGTTTCTAAGTTTGATTAAAATCTTTTAATATTGTTCTCACTTGTAGTCTTATTATAGAGTAATTATGAGCTTTTGAGAAAACCTCTACTCTTCTTAAAGATATCTTGAACTAAATCCCAAACTAAACCCTTAGTATCGATATTGGCCTTACAGTATCGATACCCTCACTTACCTCTACACTTTATCTTGCTTTAAGCTCAAACTATACCCTTGGTATAGATATTAATCTTACAGTATGGATACCCACTATGCAGTATCAATATCCTACCTAAGGTATCGATACCTCTATAATTATTTGATCAATTGCAACCCAACATAAAACACCTTCTATAACACTTATTATAGTGTTTTACGCATTTTCGATCTTTTTTATGGTCATACTATGGGTCTAGGGCCTCCATGACAACGTTTTAGGCCATTTTTAACATTTTGGTCAAGGGTTTCAAAACCTCTGGGGGGGTTTCGAAACCTTTCTGGCAAAATATCATTCTGGACAAGGGGTTTCGAAACCAACCTAGGGGTTTCGAAACCTATACTCTAGAATTCGTTTTTTCAATCGAGAAAACTCTCCATAACACTATAAAATCCTTTCCAAAATCCCCAATTTCCTACCTTGAGGTTTCCCATTTATTATTAAGTCTTATGTGATATTAAGGGAGCATAAATAAGGCTTAAAACATGTTAAAAATCAAACATAAAATCTACCATGAAAATCTACTAAACACGCTCAAACTAAACCTTTAAGCTAAATTTCTTTCTAATGATTCTACAACTAGAATGAGAAAGCTATAAGTGTGTTACCTGGATTCTTTGGATAGTATAACCTCTCTCAAACAACTAGGAATTACATTTCCTTTGCTTCTAGCTTTAATATTCTCTTCCAAATATTTAGCTAATCATAGACAAATCTAAGAGTTACTAACTTATTTAATACTTCAAATTCACCCAAACTAACTTAAATCATTTGGTTTCCTAAAAACTCCCAAAAACCTATTTTTGAAATCTTAACCCAAAACATATGATTTATGGCTTAAATTGAAGCTTAAGGGAAGGAGATTAAGGTTCTTACCTCGATTTCTTAAATCTAAGCTTGAAATCTTAAAG